AAACTGCTGGACCTCCCCTGACAGCAGAGAGTGAAAATCACATTTTAACAGCATCACCCAGGAGCTGCTGGCAGAGCACAAACTGCTGGACCTTCCCTGACAGCAGAGACCACATTGAAACACTGTCAGGATGAACTTAGAGTGAAAAATCGCATTTATACAGCATCACCCAGGAGCTGCTGGCACAGCACAAACTGCTGGACCTTCCTTCAGAGCAGAGACCACATTGAAACACTGTCAGGATGAACTTAGAGTGAAAATTGCATTTATACAGCATCACCCAGGAGCTCCTGGATCAGCACAAACTGCTCAACCTCCCCTGACAGCAAAGAGTGCATTTGGACACAGTCAGGATGAACCCAAAGTGAAAAATCACATTTTCACAGCATCACCCAGGAGCTGCTGGCAGAGCACAAACTGCTGGACCTTCCCTGACAGCAAAGAGTGAAAATCACATTTCACAGCATCACACAGGAGCTGCTGGCAGAGCACAAACTGCTGGACCTTCCCTGACAGCAGAGAGTGCATTTGGACACAGTCAGAATTAACCCAGAGTGAAAAATCGCATTTTCACTGAAGTGCACTCCTCTGCTTCTCTGTCCGTGGCTGTTTCCACATTTTTTTTTTGGCTGCTCCACCTTCCCTGAGAGCAGAGACCATGTTCCAACACAGTCAGGAATGGACCCAGGGTGAAAAAAAATCACATTTTCACAGAATCTGCTTCTCTGTCCGTGGTTATTTCCACATTTTCTTTAGGCTGCTCGACCTCCCCTGACAACAGAAACCAAATTTTGACACAGTCAGGATGAACTCAAAGTGAAAAATCACATTTTCGCTGAAATGCACTCCTCTGTTTTTCTGTCCATGATTATTTCTGTATTTTCTTTAAGCTGCTTGACCTCTCCTGACAGCAGAGACCACATTTCAAAACAATCAAGAATGAACCCAGAGTGAAAAAATCACAAATTTTCACAGAAGCACAGCCCTCTGCCTCACGATTACCACTTGGATCTCAGCTTGGATTACGAGCTTGGATCTCAACTGGAATTAATATTAAGAGGGGAAAAAAAGGGGGAAAAAAATTAGAGGAGAAAAATAAAAATTAAAAA